TTCACGTGACTAAGAAAAAAAACAATATTGTTTTTACAACAGTATAAACATCGTGCATCGCTCGGCCAGAAATCGGGCTTGGCCATGTCACCGACCAACTTAGTGTCAATGTCCATTTTCTTGGGTCTTTCGGTAAAGTCACGTAGAAGGGAAATAAATTAATAAAAATAAAACATAATAAAATAATTCTCACGACGTTTCGGCCACAACGCAAGCAGCCGTCCTCAGGTGAAGAACAGGTCTTGTCAGACTCTGTCTTCTCGACAGACTTGTTCTTCACCTGAGGACGGCCGCTTGCGTTGTGGCCGAAACGTCGTGAGAATTATTTTATTATGTTTTTTTATTTTATTACTATTTTATTATTTCCCTTCTACGTGACTTTACCGAAAGAACCAAGAAGATGAATCCCTGCAGTCACGAAAGCTTTAAATCGAAATGTCAATGTCCAATCTGCACTTTTTTACATTAAACAGAGGTCCGACGCCTATCCACACGTGATATTAATTCAGGGCCACAATGTGGTCCACTCAGGTCCACGGTCGATTCGCTCCGAAGTCGGGCTCGGCAATGTGCACCATTAACTGGGCCGGACCTCAGGCTGGGCCATCCATTCATTTAGCAGCGTGCATCACTCAATATTATTTGACCGATGTTACCATTACAACAGGAATTATTGGAATATTATACCTAAACAGAAATGTGATCGCAGTGGGTGCTTCATTATGGCAATATAGCAATTTAACTTGCACCACTTTCCATGTGTTTTTACATGTGTTTAGCAGTGTCACTGGAGCAGAACGCCTGTATTTTCTCACGCCCATGTCTCAGACAGCCCGAAGCTAGACATGTGTCTGCAGTCTAAGAGCTTTGTGCAATGTACAGTATCTTTAATTCGTAGCGTCTTTCCAATGTCTGCCAGAGTTAAAGGCCACATTCCAAATGATTTACTACTTCTACTTGATTTCAACTATATTACACTTGATAACGGTCTATTGTTTATTGTAGAGATAACCAAGAAATCTATAACTCGGCAGGCTCTAAACTCTGTAAAGGAAATTAAATTTGGTCACAGCTTCCATAGAGTGCAGGATTTGCTGCCAAGTTTGGTTTCCAATTGATCATAAAATAAAGGGGAAAAAACCCCCAAAGACGATGCTGAAAAACAGTCACCGCAAAGCGTGTAAAAATATTTAATTATTAGAAAATGTTTCCATCAATCCCAGGTTTCCCCTGGAATTAACTTTCAGAGGAAACATTGCCTTTGAAATGAATTTCTCTGAATATACCACGTGTCATTGCCATTTTGCTTCGGGGACCTTGGCATGTCGGCCACCAAAATCGTATTCCAGCTGATCTCAGCAACTGTTTCCATGTGATTTCGTGTGTTTCCATGTGTTTCTAAGTGATTCCATGTGATTTCGTGTGTTTCCATGTGTTGCCATGTGAGTCCATGTGATTTCATGTGATTTCGTGTGTTTCCATGTGTTTCCCACTCAACTGTGGGCAGCATTCGCCTACTTTGTAATAGACTTCCAGAGCAGAATGGCACCAGCTTTGTGTGGGTGTCAGTGTTTGTGTGTTGCAAATTCTATTGCTGTACAAGTCATGTAATTTCAAAGTTTCTATAAGTGTTTCTATATGTTGAATATCTTTCGCACCGCACGTAGCCAACTGTGCTAATCGGAGGTGCGGGGGAAGGACAACAAACGAAACACAAACATCGGTTGTAAAGAAATTAGTTTCCAATCTAGTTTTAAAAGTGTACAGCTCCAGTGGCTTCCTAATATCGGTAGGAAGAGCATTGCAGATGGCCGCAAAAGCGCATCTGAAAGCACGTGATGCAGTGACCATATCTGTTCGATGGTTAGCCAAAAGCTGCTACTGCTGCTGCGAGAATGACCAGAGTTTGTGTGATCGTTTATGCTCCTTGACGAGATCTGCAAGGTGTTGTGGTTCATTTGGGGCAAGCACTTTGGGTGCTACCATACACCGCATTATAAAAAAAATACCCATTATTGAATTCAATTGTGACCCCCCCAACTTGTAACATGTGACCACATTGCTTGGGGGATTCATTGTTAATCTCCAGTATTCATCCTCACATCAGTGTCCTCTCTATAAAATGGGCATGACACATATGCTGGCTAAAGTGAAACTTCTGAATTATAAGTCTGTGTGTGTTTTCTCTAACGGCTGAGACCATTAGCCTGGCTGCGTGGAAGAATTTAGGAGGAAATGACTTTCATTTTTTAACTCGGCAATCGCCGGATGCAGGAATGGCAGCTGGTTCATTCCTCTGACATGCAGCAGACCGCCGTGGTAAGGCGAGAGGAGAAACCCTGGCACACAGTGCTCTTGTGATGACTTGCCATGTGCCGGCGCTATAGAAATTGTCGTTATTGTTATCGACATGATTGCGGATATAGTGCACACTTTGCGTGTTTGTGGACCGCTTCCCTCGTTGGCACACACGGCACACGTAACTGCCGTGGCTTCGATTTAAAGCTTTCGTGACTGCAGGGATTCATCTTCTTGGTTCTTTCGGTAAAGTCACGTAGAAGGGAAATAATAAAACAATACAAATTAAACATAATAAAATACAATTCTCACGACCTGTTCTTCACCTGAGGACGGCTGCTTGCGTTGTGGCCGAAACGTCGAGAGAATTGTATTTTATTATGTTTTATTTTTATTATTTTATTATTTCCCTTCTACGTTACTTTACCGAAAGAACCAAGAAGATGCCGTGGCTTCCTTTGCGAGCGTGCAGCGCACCCGGCCACATCTACGAGTTTATGTCCGCAAGACACGCATTGCAGAGAAAGAGAGTTTCTGGGTTCCACTCTGGATTGGGGTGGCTAAAGTGTTGTCCAGGTTTCTTAATCAGACGTAGCGTATGTGTTCCTGGCAATAAAAATGGTACGCCGCAATATTGTATCAATTGTTACATTGCTAGTGGTGGGTTAAAGTGTGGGTCCCTGTACCACTGCGTGGAGGGATTGGCTAAGTGTCCTCACTTGGGGTGACGGCAACAGCGCTTGCATCGGAGATATGCCTTTGTAAATAACAACCAAACACGGACAGTGAGCGACTCGTGTCTTCATGATGGATTACAGGTTTTTGCGAAAGATAACCGTTCTCAACCGGCTCATCGTCCGGTATTGAGGTGAACAATAAGATGTGGCGGCTTTACTCGTACAACTTAGAATAGTTTTATTGTGCCAAACTCAGGACATTGTGTCACTGCAGTGTAGGTCCTCATTACCTCACGACGCTTGTTGGAACCAAACCGTTGACCCGGTGGTTGCCCTGGGCTGGAAATCCGCTGCGTGGGAAGGGGGAGCACGGGGATTCCGCCTTCCTTCAAATAGCCTAAGCTGCCGAATCTCCTGACACAGGCCGAGTGACGGAACAAGCGGTGTTTGCTGAAGTAAGTTTGGGACTTAGCAGAGAAGAAGGGATGCCCTTGCCCAATCCGCTTGTCTCTTTCCTATTGCCGTTTACTGTAATTAAAAAAGCACCCGGGCTAAGCCTGCACATTGCAATTTGCCAGCGACGGACAGAGAGACTGCTTCGCTCCTCATCAGCAGGAACTGCTGTGGCTGGGAGGCCCTGAGGCTTTTGGGCAGAGGTCGCAAACGGGTTTTGATTCCTTACCCGTACCCGGCCGCACCAGGGTCGCAAACAGGTACCCGTACCCGGCCGGTACCTGATTGCGACCTCTAGGATGAAGCCATGTTGCAGGCGCGGGTGGGTTGATTCTAGGAACTTGAATTGTGAGAAGAGACAAGACGTTGGGAAATGAGTGACAAACGGTTACTCACCAGTGACTCACAGTCTACCCGTACCCGTACCGGGCCGCACCAGGGTCGCAAACGGGTACCCGTACCCGGCCGGGTACGGGTAGCCGGGTATCGGGTAGGGTACGGGTATCGGGTACCCGGTTGCGACCTCTGATCTGCTGTGGCTGGGAGGCCCTGTGGCTTTTGGGGGAGAATGGTGACATCGCTGTGCTCTTGTCGTCCTGACCTCTCGCTCTGTGCAGCTGCTTAAATGGCGACTGCATTTTGGTGGCGCGAACCACTCAAAGGCTGTCCCGTAGGAATGTAACGGTTCACCCCCAGCGATTTGTCACTGCTCGTGGCCGTGATTCAACTATCTGCGCGGAGCTTCCTGGTATTATTTCCCTTTGTATGCGTGGGCTTTCCTCGGTACTAGGCCTCGGCAAGGTAAGGTAATTGTACCCTTTTTACCGGGTAAAAGGGTAAAGGTGTCGACATGCCAAGGGGTAAGGGTAAAGGGTAGGGTAAAAAGTAGGCTCGTTGCTTTTGACCTTTTACCTTACCTGCTAAAGGGTAAAAGGTAGGGTAGAGTGATTGTATTGTGGTAAGGTAAAAGGTAGGGTAAAGGTAGGCCCGTTGTTTTTACACTTTTACCTTACCTTGCCAAGGCCTACTCGGTACCCCAGTTTCATTATTCCGGTTTCCTCCTGCAAAGCTCATTGATGCCATTGGCGACATTTCCCAATACAGGACCCTCCCTTAACAAGAGTCTTCATGCTCATTGGTTCTTTCGGTAAAGTCACGTAGGTATAAAATAAAATAGATCACGACGTTTCGGGCGCAACACAAGCGTCCGTCATCAGCTTTCTCACCTGATGACGGACGCTTGTGTTGCGCCCGAAACGTCGTGATCTATTTTATTTTCTACCTACGTGACTTTACCGAAAGAACCAAAGAGTATGGATTCCTGCAGTCACGAAAGCTTAAAATCAAGAGTCATCATGTTCAGTGAGGCTATGCTGGATAATTAGAGAACATTCGTCTAATTACCTTCTCTTATAAAAATTGTGGAACTCTGATGACCCTGTCACGTTAACTCGCTGACAAAAGGGGCGCGGGGGCACATCGCTTCGGCAATGGGCCCCGTTGCTGGTGATGGAAACATCGGCATGGTTTTGCCACAATCAGATTTAAGTGAACTTTCGTTCCCACGTTCAGGTCCTTTGACTGCGAGCCCTTCACAGTTCTTGCGATGAGCGCACTTCTGGCGGCGGCGGCGGCGGCGGCGCCACTCGACACACCCCGACAGGCGAGCGCCGTGAGCTAACGTCGGCCGCGCTACCGCCGCTGCAGATGTGTGCCGCTCAGGCGGCCGAGGCGGCAGCGGCGGCGTGGGCAGGCGCCGCGACCGTCTTCCCCGAGGTGGTGCAGCTGAACGTGGGTGGCACGCACTTCGCCACGCTGCTGTCGACGCTGCGCAGCTGCGAGGGCTCCATGCTGGCCGCCATGTTCAGCGGGCGCCACCGCCTGCCCCGAGACCACGTGGGACGCTTCTTCATTGACCGCGACCCCGCATACTTTGGGTGAGCTCAACGGGAGGGACGGACGAACGGACGGGCTGAGCAGCACATCTTCTTGGTTCTTTCGGTAAAGTCACGTAGAAGGGAAATAATAAAATAATAAAAATAAAACATTAAATAATTCTCACGACGTTTTGGCCACAACGCAAGCAGCCGTCCTCAGGTGAAGAACAGGTCTGTCGGGAAAACAGCGTCTGAATGAGTCACGAAAGCTTTAAATTGAGCAGCATATCGAGATAAATATGATGTGGCCCTGTTTGACGAGATGTCTCGAAGCGCTTGGCATCACGTCTCATGTCAAACATTTTAAAGGACACCCCCAGTAACAAGGCAACCTCAGCACCCGGTCTAAAAATGGGCATTATTCTGATCGTATGGGGGGCGATGATTTTCTATGTATGTATGTACGTTGGACTTCTTTCGCACCGTACATAGCCAACCGTGCTAATCACAGGTAAGGCAACACCTCGTAAAAATAAGGTGTGATCGTAGTAAGGTGTGCGGGTGTGACTGCACGTGTAGAGCGGCCACATAGACAGTCGCCACTGACTATCCCACCCAGCTGTGCCTGTGCTCCCCGGTCGCCCCCCCCACCCCCCACAGTGACATCCTCAACTTCCTGCGCAGCGGCGAGGTCCCATGCCACGAGCGCGCACGCGGCGTGCACCGCGAGGCCCACTACTTCGGCCTGCAGCCTCTACTCGCCTGCCTCGAGACGCTGCAGCCCCTGGCAGGCGAGCGTGTGCGCCAGGCCTTCCTTGATCTTCTACCATACTACAACGGTGAGCCTTTCCGCAGCGGTGAGCCTTGCCGCAGCGGTGAGCCTCACCTCGGAGCCCGAGAAACTCCTCTCCTACTGGGCACGAAGTGAATCTCCTGTTGAAATCAATTACACTGACTCAAGTTACATGCAGAGAATCGTGCAGCAAATATCAATTTCAATATTTACAACTTGTGCAAGTTATGATCACTGCACTATGAACCTGACGATCCGAGTTAGATTCCTGGCCACGACTAACATCAGTGATGAGTGATGTCAGAACTGGTCCTGGTCCCTTCCCCTCTTCACCAACATTCACCGACCAGTGTGGCGAAGTATGGTCGACGAAGTAACAGTACAGCAGCAAGTTGTTGACTAATGTATGGATTATGTTAAGCGTTATACCCTTGCGTGCGTGAGGTTTTCTCCAGGTACACTGGTTGCCTGAAACAAGCAAATTATATTGCAATAAGTTTAACACGTAGGCTTTCGCGACCAATATTATTCATAATCAACGTTTTTGGGTTAGATCGCGTTATTTATAAATGTGTCGTAACCCTCCACCACCCGACACGGCCAATCAGCAAAAAAGTGTCACGTTAACAAAAGACAAATAGTTCACTGCTTTAGCCCACCGGTGTGTTGAAGCGTGAAACGACAACATTTACAAATGATGACGTCACCCTGCTGCTGCTCTATTTAAGACCGGGAGCAAGAGCAGAGCCTCACCATTCTGGCGAATTGCCCGATGATGCTGGATGCAATTACCAGCGAAACGTCGTACTCAAAAATTTAAATGTTGTGGTTTCACGCTTCAACACACCTGTGGGCTAAAGCAGTGAACTATTTGTCGTTTGTCAACGTGACACTTTTTTGCTGATTGGCCGTGTCGGGTGGTGGAGGGTTACGACACATTTATAAATAACGCGATCTAACCCAAAAACGTTTATTATGAATATATTGCAATAAATTGTCCAAACGTCTGCTTTGTAAACAACCCAGGACATTTTGCAAGAAAAAGGCATCAGTTACTTGTGGAAAGAATGAAGAAGTAGAGCAGCAGCTAATGCAACATATCGGCAATGACTCTACAGAACTACAGTAATGCCAGAATATCCCAGCGAAGATCCCGAGATTACCCTTGGCTTTGCGGGACCTCAAAGATCCTTGAATTATCCTCATAGACCAAGGGCCAAGTGCGTTGTGGGAGCTCACATTCAGAGCCAGGGGCAGAACCGCGGCAAATGCATTCCCCTGACTGTCGCCCTCCCGATAGCACGCTCAAGCGATGCGGTTGCGGTGAGGTGCCAGTATGAATGTAATTGTGTTTTAAATCGAGCGATAACATTTAACCCGTACAACACCACCGTATCGGGATGTTAGCGAGGCAGCGACGTCGCGACATTACGGGGTCACGTGATGCTCGCAGCAGTTACCATGGTGGACGTTGCTAAGGGAACGTGGAAACTGTTGCCATGGAAACACGCTTTACATGAGAACACCATTTAAACATAAGCGGCGATTTTAAGCCAAACTGAAGGAACGTATCGATAATCCCAAGGGTAGCGGGCGAAAATCCAAAGCCACTTAGGATGGCTGCCTTTTCAAATTTTACTTTTGATTTGTGACAGGAGACTCGTACCAGACACCCATCACCGGATGCAGTTTTTCTGGCTCATGTGCGTACAGCAATCCGCCTTGAGGCTAACGAAGTCTCTGTAGGAAGCAATACAGCAACTCGGTGTTATTCTCTCACATGAAGGAAATCAATCCGGTTCTGTGTAACCAATTTAAAACATGCGAAACATTGCATGTAAATCACCTGGAGGGGGTATTTTAAATTAGTAAAACAAAATTCAGTGAGGTGAAAATGGTTCAGTTAAGCTGATTTAGTTTGGCTCTCCTCTTCAAACTGGAGAGCCAATTTCCTGCCCATGCTGAAGTTCAGGCTCATCACCTACCTTGCACTTCTCGCCTGCCTGCCACTCTCTTCTGTCTACGAAGTATCTTCACATAGAATTCCCTCTCGCTGGATTCAGAGGTTTTCCGAAATGCGTGTGTTCTGATTTTTACGCAGCGTGTTGAGTGGTGGCGAGATGTTATCTCTTTCGCCTGGTATACAGGAGGTCGTGGGTTCGATCCCAACCCTTGATGCCTGCTGTATATTTGGAGTTTGCATGTTCTCTCTGCTCGCGTGGATTTTTTTCTGGTTCCTCCAGTTATTATCCCTCCACATTTAGAATCAACATGCGTTTAAGAGTATTTGGCTGCTATACATTTCCACATGACAAGCCACTTCGTTGAGCTATCATTTGTGGCCAGGTCGCTTCTGAAAAAGAGCTATATCGCTCAGTGGGCCTTACCTGGTCAAATAAAGAAAGTAGTTGCATCGATCCTATTTGAACCCGAGTTGTATTTTAATTGCATTGCAAGCAGAGACAACGCACGCCTCGTACAGCACAGTTAAGCGGAGACTCGGACGCCACCCTCCCTTGCAGAGAACCTGGAGCGCATGATCACGGTGTCGCGCGAGCGCGCCGCCCAGCGCAGGGCGCGCTTCGCCAAGCTGCGCGTCTGCGTCTACAAGGAGGAGCTGCCGGCCACGCCGTACGAACGACCCCTCTTTGGGGGGCGGCTGGCGCTCGAAAGGCCCCCGATGGCTCTCAACCTCGAGGGCGCGGCGATGGCACAGGGTCCCGGGGCCGGGGCGGACGTCGGCTCGGCCGGCCGCGCCGCCTTCCGCCACTCGTGCGACGTGGACGTGACGTTTGGGCCGTGGCAGGCCGTGGCGGACGTGTACGACCTCCTGCACTGCGTGGTGAGCGACCTGGCGGCTCGCGGCATCTCCGCCGAGCACCAGTGCATCGGTGTGTGCGACAAGCACCTGGTGAGCCACTACTACTGCAAGAGGCCCGTCTACGAGTTCAAGATCCTGTGGTGGTGACCCTCGGTAGGGGGCGGCAAGGGGTGGGGGGACCCGCCTGCGCGTCCTCTCTCCGGCTGTGGCGTGAGCCCCGTGCCGGCGTGTGTGACGCCGGTCCTCGGTGGGTGTCGCGGGTGGATGCCGCTTTACCCTGCGTTGTGAAGAGTCGATGCCAAACGATCTGATCTTTCAAGCAGGGAGAAATATTGTGCCCTTTATTTTTGTTCGCGTATTGTAATTATATATTGAATGATGTCTCTGTTTACCCAGAAAAGCCTCACTCAGTCTCAATGAGGGTCCTGCTTTTGGAATGTTAGACCGATGCCTTTTACTAAGTGTACATAGAGTAATTTTGCACGAGGGAGAGAACCCACGCACGTAACAATGGGATGACGTGCACACGGATAAACCTGTACGAAATCTACTCGCTGTACTGCCTCATATGGGTATAACCCTATTCCCCTGTAGGTGGGTGTCTCACACAGCCTTCATCTCTGTGCGATCCACCGATGCGGCTAGATGCATGCAGCACCTAAGCATCCAAGCTGAGAAAACTTGGGAGGGAGGGAGGGGAAGGTGGAGGCTGGGATCATGGCACGGCTTCTGGCAGGGGCCGTATGAAATGACCAGACAAAGCTGACGAATCCTGATTGAGTGTCACGTTGTGTAACGTGCTGTACCGGAGGTCGGCAACCAGCGGCTCAGGAGCCAGGTACGGCTCTTCAAGGATCGCTCCGTGACGTTATTTATTCAGGACCACCGTCTTGTGTTCACGTGTATTGCGGCTCTTGAAATTTTCAAGGGCCGATTTGAAAAAAAAAGGCTCTTGTTATTTTGGTTGCCGACCCCTGTGCAATGCGCTCGGTCGCCTCGTATTCCCTTGGAGCAGCTGCCAGTCTAAATATTTGTTTTCGAGCTTCGTAAGCCGTGTTGGGTTGACGTAGCTCGGAGTGAAGTCACGGCAGCGATGTCAGTGCCACGGCCTGATGTTGCTCAGGACTCAAACAGGTTACATAAGATGCGTGGTCACAAGGTGTTGAAAGAAGAAAGTTAAAGTTAGCGCAGACTGACTGCTCCATTTTTTTTCAAATTACCATTAGCAACAGCTCACTGCTGTAACATTGTGTGATTCTTATTTAAAGATGTGACTTCACAGTAAGCCAAACGTTACATTGATTAGACTTTTTTGAGTGTTTATTTCTCAGAATCTTTTTTTACGACCCATTATGTAACATCTTTTATCACAACTTCCCCAAATTTGTAAGAGTACAAAGCCTTGTTGTTAGCCGTCTCCACGCTGCGCAAAATCATCACGCGTCAGGCAGTTCCAGTTTAGTGCTGTACGGTAACTACTGGAGTGTTGGGTTCTGCGTTCCAGCATCGGATTGATTTATAGCGGTGATTTTTTTCCTTTTTTATGTAAATAACATAAGCTGTAAGTGGCCTAAACCTACTAAGAGATTTTGTTAATAAACACAGATATACCGGGGTACTCCAACCCTAAATCAACGTGGCATTTTGAGGACCCACACTACTAGCCAGAATCAGCGCTGTTTAGGATCCGAGATCCGACAAGATATGGCACATTCAGGGTGATTTAGTCATTGGCAAATGTGCTCCCTGGCTGCACGTTGCTTGCTTCATTGGCCACTCGCGGTGCTACTGTGTGTGTTGGAATACAATTACGCATTCAACAGAGCAGCTTCAGTAGAGATGAAGACCCCTTCTCAAAAACAACCAAATACCCACACCAAACGCAGGGACTGCCACGTGGTGGTGACACAATCGCTGTGAATGTGCCAGGCTAGGTCCACTTGGAGGCCATGTGGAGATGCGATAACTGGCAAGCGGTCTTGAGACAAATTCAGCTGTTGTTAGTTAACGGACCACAGTAACTGGCAGATGCACCACCTGTACTCTCCACTCTAACAAGTCACTGTGATTTAGCCACTTTTTCCTCTTTGTTCTGAGCATTGCCTCTGTGCCTCCTGTTCTAGCTGGAGGGTGGCTTTTTGGCAGCTGCCCAGTATCTTCTTTCACAAGCTTCCTCCACTCCTTCAGAGAGGCCGATCCTGGTACCTCTGGCACCAGAACGATGTTTCCTCTGGAAGTAGTAGCGGATATTTTTTTACGAGACAGTCAACAAAGGTTTTTCGAGCAAGGCTCTCGGGAACTTTGCATGCATTTATTGTACGGCGATTCGCACTATCACAGGCTGAATTATTTTCGTTTAAATTTTCTTCTCGCGTTTGTTACCAATAATTTTATTGAGTTCAGTGTTTATGTAACGTTTATGGAATGAGTAGACCTTCAATTCTTGGTTCTTTCGGTAAAGTCACGTAGAAGGGAAACAATAAAATAATAAGAATATAAAACAATACAATTCTCACGACGTTTCGACTGCAACACAAGCACTCATCATCAGGTGTGAAAAACACAGCAAGAAAAAAAAACGCCACTTTTTAAAATTTTCTTGCTGTGTTTTTCATACCTGATGATGATTGCTTGTGTTGCAGTCGAAACGTCGTGATAATTTTATTGTTTTATATTTTTATTATTTTATTGTTTTTCTTCTACGTGACTTTACCGAAAGAACCAAGAATATGAATCCCTGCAGTCACGAAAGCTTTAAATCAAAATTTGAGTCGACCTTGTTGAGATTTTGGTTGTGGGTCCGTATCGATCAAGGCAGTGTCACCTCATGGCACACACTGGCAGGGCACATTCAAAATCTTTGGCCACTCACGGCTGCATAAAACCCTCGATAATTATTGAATTCACTGTAACTCTGGCACGCAAAGCGTGAAGATACTTTGCAATCCCTCCATCGCACTTCAACTAATTAGCATTCAAACTAATTCCCTGCCTGTGTGCACACTTAATTGAGTCCTGCGGATTTATGCCTGGCTCACCGACGTGCTTGCCCAAAAAGAAGCATTTCACCGACTCAATTGTAATCATCGAGTTTTATTTTTTATTGCACCGCTTTTCATATTTTTTTTTATTGCGAGCAAGCAACGTACCTCTTTTAAACAAAAAATGTAACAGTTTGACTGGAACCGTCGAGGCCCATGCGGCCAGCTTTCTTGCGTGTTGGGCGCTGTGTGAAACGTTTACGATGGGGGGGGGGGGGGGGGGGGAAGTGCATAATGTAAAGTACAACGCTCAACTTTGTTAAGCTGTGCTGTTTTAAGCCGTTTTATAAGCTCGTTGCAAATCCTGCACTGCACATTGTGCAAAATTGTTTAAATGTTAAAAGCAGTTTTCTAATTTGCATTACGTTAATGTATCATGTGTATCTTGTAAATGTGTAATGTGTGTATGGAGCAGTGGGATGGTACGTTGCCACACTGCCCTACAATCCCAGTAACCTGAGTTGAATTCGTGGGCCATGGCCATTACTAGCAATCGGTACCAGTGTCTGATGTGGAAATCCCCAAGATTCACTCAGCCTAATACGAGTACTTGGCATGGTGTGCCGACACTAGGACTGGGGAAAACAACATCTTTATCAGTCTTTATTTATCCTGGAGAAATCCAAAACAAAGGCGGATGGTGCATTGTACTGGCCCCACAGCGTCTCGTGTGTAGGTTGGCCTTAATAGGTTCTTACCAACAGCGCACAGTCTAAGCGGGATTGTGCAGTGTCACAGAATGTCTTAATGACTCCATGCGTGTGTAGCTACCAACGTAGAAGACCCATGAAGTGGGCACGAATGCAGTGGTGGAACTTCGTGACGTTAGCATGCATCGCTGTCCGTCACGCAGCGGCCATGTACAAGAGCCCGTGCTGATGACAGGCAATAAGGCGGCACCTGCGTTCGTGAGGTGCCATTCAGCAGGTGCTGTGCTCGCCAGGCCTGTGGCAGTTCTGCTTAACGCTGCACGGCTGTGACTCCCAGCCTGCAGCAGTGTGCACCTTAATACACACGGATAGGGGCTGTTCTCCACTCACCCAGGCATAGCAACGAGCAGCTACTTTGCGATATGCTCTCGATATGTATATTCCAAAGTAAAGGGACATTGAGGTACTATATATATGCTAAACTATTTGAAGCTATTTTTCTATTTTATCGGGTAAGGTCCACTGAGCTATGTTAACTCTTTTTCAGAAGTGACCTGGCCACAAATGATAGCTCAACGAAGTGGCTTACCACGTGGAAATTTATAGCAGCCAAATACTCTTGAACGCATGTTGATTCTAAATTTGGAGGGATAATAACTGGAGGACACGGGGAAAAATCCACGCAGCCACGGGGAGAACATGCAAACTAGAAATATACAAGCATCAGGGTCGGCATCGAACCCATATATATAGCTGCAGATATATAGCTGTAGCTGCTCTCGCCAATGTTCTACAAATATTGGGGCAATAATATGTACGGTCAGCACGTTGCAGACAATTGTGAGGTCGACATGTTGCCCAGTCTATTATTCTTAATTATAATTTTTGGCATTAGTTTGTGTGTGTTCATACATACTGAAAACGAGATATTACATTGTGAAGCATTGTTCAACATGACATTGTTATGAGTGCACGTGAAAACCCATTTGTCTTTCCGTCTCTCTGCCCTCATGAAGAGCACATCGAAGTGAGGTGCGTGCTGATTACCCGCCCCGTATTTTAAAGAATTTGTCGTGATCTGGGGGTCACGATTCGATTCAAGAATTCTCATTTTTATTCTTAGGTTTTTTCGGTAGAGTCACGTAGGTAAAACATCAAAATTAATAAAAATAAAATGAAGATCACGACGTTTCGGAGGCAACACAAGACTTGTGTTGCCTCCGAAACGTCGTGATCTTTATTTTATTTTTATTAATTTTGATGTTTTACCTACGTGACTTTACCGAAAAAACCTAAGAATATGAATCATTGCAGTCACGAAAGCTTCAAATCTAGAATCAAGAATTCTCCCGTCATGTGCCCAGCTCCATGGTCGGCTCTCAGCATGCACCACTCATCCTCGCGCACACGGTGTCCCACATTGTCCTGTGTTATCCCCATCTTATTCTGTACCATTGAAAACACGAATTCACATCATCAAAGCATTCACTTTTAGCTGTTGTCCAGAGGGTCAGTATGCATCACAGTTATTCATTCTCATGATAAGAGATAACCCTCCAGCGCATTCTGTGTGACATTATTTTCACGATCGGTACTTGTACCAGCCGAGGTCATAGCCTCTAATATACACAAAATAGGCAAACCAAACACAACCCGAGATTATCTGCGCTGGAAACGACAGTGGAGGGAATCCCCATGGATTGAAAGTTATATCACGAGGGTACACTGGCGCTCCTAAAAGTGACTTTAAATGATTTCTTTCTCATCAACAGAGGTTCAAACGCACGTCGTTTGTGCGATACACAGCCTGGGCAATTCGGGGGTTTAGCAGTTCATCCATTAATCCACAAAAATCAGTTCGCATGCTCAGGATACATCAATTCATGCTGCGAGGATAAATTATTTTTCCTATGTTGTATGCAATACGTCGATTTGACCCCTTGCAGTCACTTGAGGTGCGACAG